CCAAGGAGCTAGCTTTCGTGATAACTACAAGTAGAACGTATGCAGCCCGGACATCTTTGCAAGACCTACAAGAAAGAGATTAGAAGCCTCACTGCCAACCCACGTTCCCTGAGTCCTAGGCCTCTGCTTGCTGTTCTCGTCTCAGACGATGCATGACCAAGGACTCAAAGACCGTCCTTGGCAAGGTGCAAGAAGCAAAAACCGCTGCATCACTGCTACATCTCCGATAAAATAGAAGGTAAGTGCATTGACCAGCAAAAACACGGGAGGAGAGTGAGGAGCCCTGCCATGATCGAGACCAGGGAACTGCTTGCCTGCGCGGAATGCAATGTCGCCAGCAGTTGCCTGCTCCTTGTTCCGCAGGTCCGCGTCGGCACCACGTTCCAAAAGCAAAGAAGTGGCCCTGTCGGCCCCCATCGAAGCTGCATGATGCAGCAAGGTGCTTCCCGAGCTGTCACGGTGTGTCATCAGCTCCGGCCAAGATTCCAAAGCGCCCTCAAGGCCCTCCTCGTCATCTGCAGCAGCTGCCGCTTCAGCTTGCGCCCATCGTTGCCTCGCTTCGTGCGGGTCCAGGATTGGCAGCTCTTTAAGGTCCTGGATGAGGGATGAGACATCTTCCTTTCCGCTCTTGCCATTCATCGCCTTTACGGGGGCACCAGCTGCGATGGCTGCAAAGGCAAGGCTGCTTGCCAGCCCCAGCTCACCGTCCTGCTTGAATGCATCCGGATCTCCCGGAGCATCCCCAAGCACCAGAACGGCTTGCACGTGACTTGTCTGTGGTTGCTCTGCCGGAAAGGCTTCCACGGCCGCAGCTACTGCACAGCCCCGGCTCTCCAGCACCGCTTTCAGTCTGAGCGCCGGCTGCGCAAACTCTGCCGAGGCTAGGATCCCAAGCGCATTAACACGGGTAAGGAGTCCCATAAGCTCTGGAAATTGGCCCATGCTTGCGACAGATTCCAGTCAGCTTGAGCCAATACAATGACACACTGGAGTCTGGAGACCCTTTTAAACATGCCTGAAGCACTACACTGTCACCGTCCCTTCCTGGACTCTGAGACTTACATACAACTCTGCTCACTTTGCTTTCAAAACCCTGTGGCTATCTTGGTTTCAAGGCTGCATGCGCACTCCCAATGAGCGATTTCATTCAAGCAGACGAAACCTACTGAAAATGTCAGAGCCTTTTTCAATCGTCCAGAGCACGAAGTGCCTGACTGCACGTTTTTTCCCATTACCTCTTTTTTGAACAGGCTGAGGCAAGGCAGATATGTTTACGCGATCAACAAACTCAATTGCAATTTTGGCTCGACTGGCTGGATGCAAGCTCCCTATCCTTGTGCATGCTTTTGTGGCTACAATCGTGTCACGTACTGAGCTGGTAGGTAGGTTTTCGCGGTAACGCGGCAAGCGCTAGAGCAGAAGGTGTTTCTGAGAGCCGGTTTGGCCAGAGCCTTGCACTCGCGATGCGACGAAATCCAACATCTGCACCATGCCAGAAAGGGTCAGGGTCGAGAAGGCAACTCGAGGTGCCAGACTCTGGAGACATTTCGGCGACATTTGACAGTTAGATGCCGGTTGCGGAGAGACGTAGGCCACACAAAACATGAGTCCGTTCCACGGCCCAACTATGAAAACTGCTCTTTCGACGTCTTTCCTGTGGCCGCCAAGCTATGAATACTGCTCTGGAAATATCGCCATGAATTTCGACTTTTGCTGGCTCTCTCTGCTTCGCGATCCTTCTACACCTGAGGGTGCAGAATGTGGCATAACGAGGACCGGAAGGTATTAGCGGGGCTTTGTCGAGGGGGCTATCCTCCTTGGTCTGGCCCTGAGCGTTTATGTTGGGAAATCTAAAACTGCCCAAAATGTAGGGGGCTACTTTTTTATTCAGGGTTTCCTCCAGCCTTCGAAACTCCAAAAACAACAGATGTAAGGGTTACATTTCTCACCTTGTCGATTTTCCGGCCTCAACAAACTCCTAAAATGAGAAATACTGAGCTGCATTTGGAGACTTCAGGCCTCCTACCCCCCCCCTCTATCGCTACTGACCCTGAAGTGAGAAACATCGGGGAAGGCCTTTGGAAGTTCTCGTGTCTACTGTTTACACTGTCTTCCAGGTATGTGTTAGACTGCGCACTTGGTCTGGGTTTGGCCTTGGTTTGCAGAGCTTATGGCAATCCAGGTCATCCTTTTCTTCATGCTAACCGCTAGCCTCCACCAACCACATGCTGGAACGACCACATGCTTATCCGGCACCACAAGAATGCACTTCAAACTTGCTGGAGGAGCTGCCCTTGTGCATGCTGAAAAGTTCATTTGAGAGCTCATGGCATCGCATGAAGAGAAACCTACAATGAACAAAAGCACTGAAGATTGCAGGTGCTTTGAAAGCCTTGAAGATTCGAAAGCTACTGTCAACATCCTGCTCACCCCTGCACAGCTACTGCACAGATCCGGAAGTGTGGGCTTGACCAGGCCTGCTTTCGTGCCTTTTGCCACAGCTGGCATCCAGGTGTCTAACTAATCACCCACCAGACCGGGAACTGAACCCAGGATCCAATCCTGATCCAAGGCCAGCCAGGACAACTGGCATCAGAATTGGACATTATGCTGGGAGCGGAAACTCCATGCCACTTCCCTTGACTTTAAGCCACGGCTGCTTCGCAGCTCTCAGGAAGCAGCATTTAATGAATGGTTATTGAATACTTGCGGCTTGCAGCTGAAGCTAACTTCATCCCTAAGAACGAACCCAGGATCTGTTTGAGCAGGCATCGCAATTGCTTGAATTTTTTGCCTCCGAAAAATCTGGCTGGGAAAAATATACACCCCGCTCTGCTTGGCAGAAGCCATCCTTATTTGTCAGAGACTGGCAGCAGGACTGACACAACAATGGGCAACGTCAAAAAAAACATAGGGCCAGCCCAGACTCCAGCCAAGATGTTCACGCTGCACGCGCCCGAGGCTAATGTTATGCATCAGAATAGACCTGCAGGCAATCAAAGTCTTGTCTAGACAACACCTCTGATACACGGCTGCAGCCACACCTGCACCCTGGCCAAACGGCTTGAGTCGTACAGTAAGCTCTTACATTCAATGCCCCTGGGCCGAGGCACGGTCAGAAGACTGCCTCATGTATCTTGAGATCATCGGCGATCTCTTCCACCGTTGTGCTGTTGCTCTCATTTGCGACGTCGTTTGCGAGGTCGCTTTCCGTCGTCTTGAGCTCCACACTAATCGTATTGTCTTCATCCTCACCTGGTGCCAAGGGAGACCAGAAGGCCGTAAGTCCCATTACACAAAGCCTACACGGCGCCAAACCAGTGTTTGCTCGCAGCAGTGATGGAAGAATTACGCGCAAGCATTTCTAGCCTAACCACACCCGTGGATAGATTGGATTAGGGTCAACAAAGGAGTTGCCGAAGAAATACAAACGTGACCACAGTCCCCAGCCTTCGTTAGCTGCCAGCTTAGAAGACACGGACTTCAGCGCGCCACTTTGAAGGCGCCAGGCCACCTGCAGATGTGCGAACAAAACTTCCAGGCGCATCCCGTGAACTGAGAGCTTCAATGAGCGTGAGCCCTTGCAATCGTTGCACCTGCTTCGCTCGAAGCTCCAAGTCCTCCTGCGTCGAGGAGTAATTCCTGGGCACGGTGGCCAGGCTAAGAACAGCCAACATCAGCCTAACTGGAGCTAGGTTTGGCCAGCCGTCTGAGGCGAGAAAACCACGGCGATTTCTTGGAAAACAGCCTTGATGACTCGAATGTAGGTTTGCAGGTCGACCTTCTCCAGCTGGGAGTATGAGGTGAGATCTTCGTAGAAGGACTGCGTCGGAAATCGGAACCCGTCTTCTGCGATGATGGGCAGTATGGCACAGGAGTCGATTTGACTGACTTGCAATAGCCATTTTGCCATCTCACTGGATCTAAAGCACCCATCCGAACACACCACAAGTGCGGAAACTGCCGACAATGGCAAGTCACGATCCTTTTGAAGGACCTGTGGCATTGAATTCTTTGAAGCTCCAATGAGCTTGGGCACAACGAGAGCCAGGAGAATATAGGCGGTTGCAGCAGCCTGCCAACTGGAGAAAGGGCTGCTAAAACGCAGCAAAGGCTTGTTACGGCTGTGGTTCATCAAATCATCACTAGTTTCAACTTGCAGAATCTTGCACATAATGCCACACTACTATACTACTATCACTGCTGCCATGCAGTTGACACTTGTGTTTTGACCTTGGGGACGGCCTCCATATTGTCCAGATCTGCTAGGATGAGGCAATCTGGTTGATCCCGCTGGTCGTTCACAGATCTGGTGCGGCTGGTGTTTGTCAGGTTGCTCACAATCTGATCCACGGCTTCAGAGGTAAGCAAAGCTGGGACGTCAAGTGCTTCCACGGTGTTGATCCAACGGAGAGTCTCTTCCACCTGCGAAAGGATTCGTGTGCAAAGCCTCTACTGGGTTGCGTTCAGGTCTCATCCCATCCATGGACCCCTTCTCATCACGGCAAACACACCCAATTTCAAACACGAGCCTCCGAAAGTCCAATGTTGTAGTTTGCAAGCTCTGTAATGTCGGGGACGATGGTGGTGTAATTCTCAATGAAGTTCTTGTCCGGCTTCATGAAGCCCGGCCACATGAGCAGCACTGTGTGCACCTGGAAAGTTTTCGGACAAATCTTGCTCCCGAGAAAGGACTGTCAACTCCTCCTTGTTAGACATTTGATTAGCTAACATTTGAAACATGCGCTAGGGCAACTTACTTTGAACAGCATCCCCTGTCAAGACACGCCACACGTCACACAACCAACATCAACCAACAAGGAGTTCTTACTCTGAGAGAGCTGGATATCCCATTAAAAATCCTGATCCTGTTTCAGCAATCTTGCCGAATCCCACCTTCTGAATCCTGGCCGTGACCATCTCGCCCACACACCATTTTCGGGTGAGGATGTCCTTCAACTTACGCTCGCAGTCAACATCAACCTCCCTAGTCTCATCTTTGTCTAAGTCGGATCTGTGCATCTCCACTTTGACTGCTTGAGGAACCTTTCGATTTAGCATCAGCTCTTGGTGCCGTCTCTGGGGCTTGCCAAGCAGCCGTATCATAACTGCCCTGGAATGCTACACTTCTTGGCACTCTACAAGTCTTCACCTCTAGACAGTACAAGATTCGAAATCCCTTCATTGCGGCATCAGTCCTGGCTGCCCAAAATGACCAGGGTCTCGGATTCCTGGCCCACATAACCAAAGAGCTTTGTGAGGTCGTTCAGGTCATCACAGTCCACAAAAGTTGTAAAGCGCGACCCGCGCTTCTGCAACTCCATCTTGAGTAGCCGCGCATAACTGCCAGCGGCGACCTTCTGGTGGCAAAGGAAGAAGCGAAAGGGCTTCCGGTACTTCTGCATGAAGTGCTTTACAATACCGTAGACGATGGCACCCACGATCGCAGCCACCATTAGTGAGGAGAAAAGCATGCAAATGACCACCGTAATTTCAGCATCAACCTCCCCTACAAAGAGTGACCCCATATCGAGGATGACCAGCATGCCTGTCACAAGGACAACGTCCAAGTAGTTGCAGGCCATCGCCCGCCAAGGCTTGCTGAAAGCCGTCACCACAAGGCTTCCATACAATAGCAAATTCAGGCAAAGAACCTTGCCAGAAGTGGAAGGCAACAAGGGGCAAAGCACCACCAGGGCGTTTCGCAGCAAGAAAACGACAGAAAAGGCCTCTGCCCCAGGCCGGAATCGGATGAAAAGGAAGGAGCAGGCACGAACAAACTGGACGTCTGCTTGTTCCAGGCGTTTCGGTAATTCCCAGAGGATGATCCAAGTGCAAAGGACCAAGAAGGCGATGGGTAGAAGGCAGGCAAAGCCCCCAATGAGTGCCATCTGCAGATGTTCATCCCTGCCATTGCAGAAGACCTGATGGTACGCCTGCACTGTGGAGAGTCCATTGGGGTGGCTATCGCAGCGGAAGGGTGCCAGCAGGGAGGAGCACAGCGAGATGAAGAAGACCATGAACAGAGTGCCCACAGTCCGGGCCAGGAGGCTGAGCTGTAGGCCTCTCGCCTTGCGCACTGCTAAGAATGCAAAATGCACCAGCGCGGCAACTGCAAAGAAGACCAGCACCAACAGCGTCCTGGTGGCAAACTTCACCACGGGGCTCATGGGAGCCACACAACTAATGGATACCATGTCCAAATCGAAAGCCATGACTTCCAAGGCCACCAATACGCTTGAGAAGGGCTCGCCCCACTCGATCTTGAACTGCTGGATAACTGTCAGCTGCCTGAGACAACTCTGATCTATGCAGAGAGCAAACCAAATAAACTCTGAACCTAATTGAAGTTAAGGTGCTGGACGACGGTCACCATTTGGCCCATGCCCAACGCAGCAATCAGCAAGCTTCCTGGCTGTCTGCTCTTCTGCCCCTCGTTCATGAGAACGATGTACAGCACTGCAATTGCTCCAGCTGCAAGGATGGCCACCTCAGACTGACCGACATGTCAAAATGTGCGGCGAAATCGGCGAAATCTGCCTGATCAACCTGCAGCCAAAGCTCAGTCACCACCAAGGCGTAATCTCCTCCTTGGCACTCCACGCACACGCCATCCTGCAGGGTCTATGTACGAAACCCTGCGGCTGTGCAGCCGCAATGCAGTGCATGCATGTCGCAAGGTTGCAAGCCGTCAGGCCTTGGCGTGCAGCCCAACGTTGCAGCTGCTGCAGGCCACACTGCTGGTGTCACGACCGCTGGCGCACGTACCGGGTTCTCCACCCGGGCAGCGCTCCGGCTGGCCGAAGCAGCGGTAGACCATCCCAGGCTCCTGTGCGGTGGAGAAGTAGCCTGCAGGGAGGTCTTAAAACCAAAGCTAGTTTGAGCCCTGCTCTCTACCCTGAACCTACTCTTTCCTTATGCGGTCCTGGGAGTAGTTCGAGCTTGCTCGATCCTCTGCATATGGATCCCTCAATGCAGGGCTGGCAGAGACCATCATGCAGGTACGTGCCCTCCACGCAACCACAAAAATTCTCCGAAACTGCTCCCTGGATAGGAATCCATTTTATGTCTCCCTGGTCCATGACCGATTTGCTTGTTGTCCACTTATCCATCTGGGTGGTGTTCGCTCCACACTGGTGGCAGAACGTCATGCCGGTCTCATTGGCATACCCGCCCAAATCGCATACGGTGCATTCAGCGGAGCCGGGCTGATCTGAAAATCTTCCAAGCTCACATGGAACGCAGCTGGACTCACCGGGCAAATTCTGAAAGGTACCTTGGCTGCACGGTCCAAACTCTCTTAGGCACTTGCATGGAAGGTGTGCTTTCCATCAACAGGCCTTCGTCACATGGCAGACACACACGAGTGGAGCCCTGCTCCACCGAACTGGTTCCAACAGGGCAGACCTGCCAAGAGCTAGAAAACAGAAAATTATGGTTCTTAGTGGAGAGTATGGGAATAGATGGCATAGGGATTATGCAGGGGATAGATTCTCTGACTCCCTGAGAACCAGAAAGACTTGGATTCCTCAGGTGCCGAAGAGTTGAGCCTGGCCTGGCAGCTAACAGCCGAACTGCGGTCCAGCACCTGCAGCCAACTACAAAACAATCCAAACCGAACCTCAATCAGGAAATGGGAGTCGTGCTTATAGGTGCTAAAGCTCAGTCCGCCACAAGTTCGCCCAAAGAATTCACCAAGCCCTTCCCCGCTGTGCACGCTGTCTCATTCGGCAGCCAAGCCATCCACACGGCCGGATTCGCCTTCAACCAATTGCAGGCTGTCTCCCGAGCATCGGGTGTTGTTGCCAACAGGTGCTGCACAAGAATTTGGGAAAGCTCATCATCTGCGATGAAGAGGTTTCTTGCAACCGCCACCGCACGGTCTGCGACTGCCTCAACACCCACTGCCTGGCAGGAAACACCAAAACATGTGGCTAAGTGCTAAAATGCTGTGTTTTCTGGGTGCTTATACTGAGATCATGCCCTCGAGGGTGGCTTAGATATTGGAGGACCTCAAGCCATGAGACACAAAGTGCCACTTTGCAGTTGAGTTGCTGCCCAGTTGGTTAAGTCAACATTTTCGCGCTGGGTTCTGTATATCTGCTGCGCATACTCCGAAGGGCTGTTGGGTGGGAAGATGACTTGCGAAGGGCTGTCCAAAGTAAACGATGTGTCAGGCGTCCACCAGTACAGCAAGCTCTGTAGCTGACGATTCAATGGCACGTAATAGTTCACCGGCAACCTTTTCGCGGTGGCAAAGGCAAGTGGCATGTTGTGGAAGAACGCCTGCTGGATCATCTCCTTGGGAGCAGCTTTCCATGAAAATGAGCAGACGTGCTTTTGCAGCAATCTTCTGCAATTCAGGAAGCACATCAGTTTAATTGCAAAGAGTCAGGCCATCCCCACCCGGGGCCACCAGAGACCACCGTGACACAGTTGGAGACGTTACTCCGACATGCAGGTGCTGGCCACCACTTCTGCTGCCAGCATTTCAGCCGCCTGGTGCTATTCACCATCTCGACGCCGTCAGCCTTCAGCTGCCATAGTTTGATGGCTGGTTCTGTGCCCTGGCGACCTAGCCCCCTTCCACCCCATGATGCACAGCTTATCTACAGCACTGGCATCGCAACATGTAGTCAAGCCCCACAGCGCAACCATGGCAAGCAGAAATGGGTTGCTGTCAAGAAAGTTAAATTAAGTTACCATAAGATGGATATATGATAAGTGATAGGTTTCATTCTAGTAATTGAGTTTAAGTTCCTTACCAGCCACCTAGACAGGCATGACAGCAACCCAAGGTTGAATGTACGGAGACTTAGCTCCCCACATCGCCCGTGGCCTGAAAATAGATTTCGGCAATGTTGTCGAAATAGCCCTCGAGGCCACGAAGCATGCACCATTATCATGAATCTTGATGAATCCTAATGGCCAGCTTCGGTGTACATGATAGTTTCCCAAAATACAGGAACCCCAATATAGACCCCAAAATACTATGATCCGTATTATAAGGACCCCCAGAATGGAACCCCTAAGTATGGGAAACCCCCAAATTTGTCCTTGTACCTGCTTTTTTTTCCATTCAAATACAGCGCCTAGCGCAGTCCTTGTACCTGCCATCTGACATAGTGCATGTGAGCCATGGTCAAGACTCCTAGCATACCCCTTGATACACCACAATAGTACTTCCTCACAATGCGCCCCATAAACCCCCTTTAAGAACTTTAAAATTTTCTTTTACAACTGGCACCACTGAATCATGTCCTCAGCCTGTCTAGAGTCTACAGGACTTCATGACGTGAATGCAGCAACGTCGAAAATCCACAAATTCTTCCGCGGGGATACACACAACCTGCGCACACAAAATTCAAAATAGTTGAATTGCTTTGGGGAAGCGCCTCCACACTTTCGGCGCATGTTTGCAACTGGTCCAAGCTCACATCCGCAACCACTGAGGCATACTGAGCGGGATTGTACCATGAGGCGTTGTAGGACCGGTAATACTCCAGCCTGCTTTGCGGGAGGACTGCTGAGCAAAAGAGGTAGTTGGGTTCTGGAAGCCCCTTGCACTGCAAGGCAGTGGTCGAGCCCTGCCCTATTTCCAAGCCACCTTGATACAGACCTTCAGGACCCTCCATCATGGATCTGCAAGACACGTTACATTCATTACATGAGCACTGCAGCAATCCCGAGCACTTTGAGGTGAACGACCCGTTCAGTCGCCAAGGAACGCTAGACCTCGATCTGTCAAAGCCTTCTGGACGGCACCATCCAGGATGAACATGCCTTCTTTGCCTGGATATCCAATGCCTTGGCCGCACTGTGCAGGATTCAGACCCAGCCAAGCAATCCACAGAAATTCACAGAGAGTCCTTACACACGATGTCACACCAGGATCTCTCAAACCGAAAGTAAACGTGGAAAGCTGGGACTGCTTCTAGACACGAGGCTTCCCAAGTTCACCGGCGTGTAGTCGCCCATCTCGGCAGCCCAACCACTCCACCAAGGCCTCTGACCGTCTTTGTTGAGGGTGCACTTGCAGTGAAGTCAAAGACCTTCTCAAACCGCATTGATCCTACTACCAGTACATATCAGTAACGTGTCCCTTCTGAAGAATGTCGCAGCCTAGTCAAAATTCAGGAGGGCTTGGTGTGTATGTGGCATACATTACACGAGCACACTTTCAGGGAATGGGGGGCCTCCTGGCTCTCTGACGAAACTGACTGTCTGCCTACACAACTTTTGAACATGTCTGCCACAACTCCGTTCCAAAAAGAGATGGCACATGCGTTTTTTCAACAAATGATGCAATTAGAGACGTAGCATGCGTCAAGCTTTACCTCTGAAGCTTACGCAATGTGGAAAAACTTCCGCATGCTCTTATGTGTATTTCCATATCATGTATCATGCCAGCAACTGCCGGATGCCAAGCCCGCCACGATGTCGCATACCAAAACTCCAAGGAAATGTGGAAGCCTGGGTTCGTTCCATCAGCAGAAGGCATGTACGCAGACAGACCTGAACACATGCATCCAAGCTGGAGGACATGCAGGCAGTAAACATAATATGCCGTTACCGAAGCAGACTTGGGTACGTCCCTCAGTCTCATCACGAATTCGAAAAAGAAAAAAAAAATGCCCAGAGGGCGAGCGGCGACGGGGTGGACCGCAGTTTCCAAGGGGCTCCATGTCAACGGGATCGTGGTCGCATCCAGCCAATTTGAACACCTCACAACTCCGATCATCTCACTTTTGCAAGCACAGCAATGCTGTGGCATTCCCACCTGAATCTTGCTGGCTGAGCCAAACTCCATGTAGGTGTTATAGCCCAAACGCTCCTGAACATCAAGCTGATCTGCATCAACGTACGACTGCTTGTACGTCAAGAAATTGCGACTGCTGCATTCCGAGCGTCTTGGGCAATAATCTCATATATTCTGCTGACAATGGTTGAGGAATCGAAGTTGGAGCTCCAAATGCCGAGAGGCATAGACTCACCGTCTACTATCACATTATTCCTGTCTGCCTCTGGTATGGCGTCTGGCAGGCATGTTGTCACGCCGACAACCTGCACTGCCGCAGACAGAAGAAGAACTAGGTGCACAATGAGGCACCGCATTGGGTCAAGTCTGCGCTTGAACCACAACTGGCGGGGTCACTGGCGTGGAAGCCAAAGCTCTTTTACATTGGCATTGACAGAGCTGGGCAAAATTGCAGACGGCAGCTGCTTGAACTCTTTTCGGTAATGCGAGCGACGTGTCCTGGATGACTTCATCAACCATTCTTTCCACCCCGCCAGCTCTGAAAGACTGTTGCAACTAGAGAAGTTCGCACTGCTTCAAGACCCACTACTCAGGACGGACACAGCGTTTCCAAGAACCTCGCTGCACTGACATGCGACTACATTGAACATGATATTCTGAAATTTATCGATAACTGGAACAAAATCGATCGCACTTTCTCTCTGAGCCTTGCGGCACGCTAAGCCTCCTCAGGAACAGCCTCTTCAGGTACGGCCTGAGGCAACATGTTGATGCCGCTGGGGTCTCTCACGGTCAACCTGCAGACCTTCACTCGAATTAGAGCGTTACTGTAGCTGTTAGCTCCAAGAGAAACCTGTCAGGCAAAGTCAGCAGCAAAAAGGCAATAAAGAATATATACTATCATAAGACATTGGGGCCCCCAATTGCTCTCTGAAGCCCAAGAACCACAAACTCAAACTACCACACCAAGCAGCAAGCGCACCTACCTAAGAAATCACCTACCTAAACAGACCAGATACAAAGGGTCATAATGACATAATGATAAGCTTGAGAACTAAACTAACACATAAAGAAATCATGATCATCACAATAAGGATTGCGATTGTGACCATAAGTGTGTTACAAATAGCGGTAGCAGGACGACTGAACCTCAGCTGCTGCATCGTCTCCCGTGTCTGCCAGCGGTGGTCCCTGGCCGCAGATGCTTTCACCCTAAACCCTAAACCGTAAATCTTAGACCCTAAGCCCCGATGACAGTAGCATGGCGGTTTCCCGATGCAGGAATCCCGTCAAGGCTACAAACTACAAACAAGGAGCTTGTGGAAACGACGCTATTGGATCCCAGAACCCCCAGTCAAGTCAGGTATGCAGGCTCCCACCTCGGTCTCACCTTTTCAGAACCCCCACATCAGGTATTTTCCGAGAGTTTGGGAAATCTCGAAGGTTTTGCCTGGAGGTCTGGGCTGCCTGCTGCTTGGGATGCAGCCTCCTCCAAAGTTTTTGTTCCCCTACCCGCACCCAACCCCTCCCACCCTGTCTCAACCCCCCCCTCCTCCCAACCCGCACCCACACTTAAACTTGTCATCAATTTGTCTTCGAGCAGCGCTACACTTCTGCCCCCTCGCCGAGGTGCTGCGACTGGGACTACTCCACTGCTCCAGCCACTCCCAGCACTCCTAGTACGTGATTATAACGAAAACGGTTGCTGTCCCTTATGGCGTGCCTCAAAAGTGAAATTGTTTTTAGCTTTGTGCTTCGCACGGTCAAGTCTGCTATCAGATTAACAGCAGACAGCAGATGAGACATGCTATCCGAAGCCTGCAATCCTTACATCCAGGGCCGCAACCTTCACTTCACCAAACCCGTGAAACCCGTGACCCCAGTTCACCTCGCCCCACGGCGCTGGCAGCCTTGCGACCCCTGTCAGGACCGCTGCTGCAGAAAGAGCACTCAAAATTGTCTGGTGAAGTAGGATGCTCGATGTTCACGGGCTGTTGGAGACTCTACACAGACATGCCACCCTGTACAGTTCTGTTCTTTGAAGGGTGAAGCAACTTTGGCGCAGCTGAGATTTCTGTAGCTCAGGACTCCCCAGCCCTAAATGCGGGAATCACAGTCTTCTCAACATCAGAACTGCTCTTGCACCTGGACCATATCTGTCCATGATTGTCTTTGGCTTCGGCACCTAAGTCACAAACGTCACTGCGAAGCAGTGTTGCAAAGGGGGCAGCTTGCAGAACTATCAGGCAAGGATTCTGTCGAATTGTAACAGGCTATGCTGGTCATCCTTCCGAGATGACAATCACGGCTTGATTTGTAGTAGGATTTGAGGAATCCAGCTGCAATGTTAAGCTGGACTAGTCCGGTGCGGACGCGCGTAGGGAACCTTGCCAAAGCTGCTTGCTGCTTCCACAGGAGTCCGCCATTGTACAATTCTGTAGAAAGCTCTGCATCACAGGCACTGCTTTTTCCAGCCACTCTTCGTAGCCGTCCACCTTGATGCCGGAGGCAACGGCCGTTCCATGCACGATCTTCATGGCTCGCGTGATGTCCTCCATACAAAAAACACTCCCATATCACCTGGGACTCATTTAAGCCTGCTCCCCAGCAGAGATCCAGACTACATGATGCTGACATGGCAAGGCATCAGTCTCATGGCACTGATGTGCGATCCTCGCAGTTCAAGTCCGGCAACTTCAGTTGGGCAATCTCCTCCAGCTTTTCAATGCTAATGCTGCCGATGATGTCCGTACCTGAGCAGGCGTGGGCCAACAGTCACTGCATCCTGAGCAAGGCTAGAGGAAACACGGCGCGAGCAGGCCTGCTTTTCCAGAGCCTTTCTGCTTGTTCACAGCCTGCTGGCTGATGCTACGCTGCATTTCTGTTCAAGCGGCTCCGATGCAGGGAAGGCCAAACATTCACTCCAAGATTCAACAAAGCTTGTCTGCCAGCCCTCTTGGCGAAACTCCAGGCTACAAGTCCAAAAATGGCATCTGAAAAGACACCTTACATGCGTTGCCTCTTGAATGAAGCACAGCGGATTACATATCACAGAAGCGCTGAGCCAACAAAATCTGTTGCCCCACCTTGTGAAGGAGCGCTGCTGTGAGGGGAGTCTTCAATTCAATCTTGAAGCTCTTGTCGCTCATAACCTCGATTTCGGCAGTTCTGCTCCATACGCATAGCACAACACTTGCAAACACACCATCAACTTGCCCCCTCCCGCCTACACACTGCAGCCAAGCGACGTGCACAATGCAGGGGCAGGTCTGGCCAACCTCTTGCGGCGGAACGAGCTTAGCTGCTTTCTTTGGGGAAGGATGCCGCAAAGCATCAGAAGATCATGTATGATTATTGATCTCTAGAATCAGAACCGCGCTGGGCCTTGTCCGCCGTCAGAGCATTGTACTCCTAGCCACACATGACTGTGAACTAGTCAGCTACGGCAGTTGTCCTGATTGAATCCATCTCCTAGTTTCTTCAAAGCTCGGATGAAGATTTTGTCAGCAGTGCCATTTCAGCATGCACAACCTGTGGCCAATCTCCTTCACGAACATTGCAATGTTCAGGCCGAACGCCCCGATCGCGGGGCCAACAGGTGGAGCTGGCGTGGCCTTGGACAGGAAGCATAAGACATTCAGGCTGACGCCGACAGCTGCTGTCGCTATAGTACTTGTACATGGCACAGTGTCACAGAGTTGCTTCATTTTCTGCAAGAGATGTCTCAATTCCGCGCAGCACTTGAAGATGCAGTTGGTCGCACGTGATCGATGTCAACTCTGTAAGCAAGGGCGCAGCTACATGCTGGCAGTCACCGGTCTCACACGCACTGATGGCCAGCACGTGCGTGATCACATCTGGACAAGCTGACCCATCTCGGAAGAGCCACAGGGCCCATTGCCATTGCTGTGCTCCTCTGCATGAGCTGACAGCAGCACTCAGCACTTTGGTAGTTGACAGGGACCTCGCAGTTGCTTCCTGCAAGAGTCCAAGGGCATGCTTCCACTTTGAAGCTGACGCGCAGGCCGAAGTGGCTGCCCCGTAGGAGGCAAACGAAGGCTGCAACTTCTTGCAGAGTGTGATGAGCAGCTCGAGAGCTCTGCGCCAGCGACCGGCTCTGCCGCAGGCGCTCATCGCTGCATTGTAAGTGATTACATCAGGTAGCAGTGAGCTCTCCACAAGCTTCTGCAGCAGCTTGAGGGCTTGTTGCGACTTTTCTGCCTTCTCACAGGCACTTATGGCAGCGTTGTAGGAGGCCACAGTCGTTCGAATGGAAAGGGATGTAATACAGCCCAAAATGCGCAGGGCCAGTACCCATTCCGACGCCTTCTCGCATGAACTGATTGCGGTATTGAAGGCTACAACATCTGGCTCCGGGCCCTCAGACTCGAGTTCATACAACGCCAAAACAGCCCGCTGCCACTCTTGCACCTGCTCACAAGCACTCATAGCAGCACTGCAAGCAAAGACTGATGCTTGCAAAGACCTTTGCAGCAGGGACTGGGACAAGCAGAAGGCCAGTTGCCAACGAGCACACCTCTGCGCCACTGTCGTAAGGGCGTTGAAGCTCACCACCGCATTGGCCTTGGTTTCCATCCCAGCCCGCGACGATGACAAAGCCGCGGCCCAACTTGAGGGCCCTCTCAGAGTACTGATTGCAAGGTGATTAGGTGCTGTTCCATGCAGCATGTGTAGTGCCCATCTCCACTGTCCTCTTGTGAAGGTGTTGATGTAGCTGCAAATTGCTTCGCGCCGCAGACCACAGGCTCTCATCGAGCTGAATAGTACAAGTGCTTCTCTCCAGTGACCGGCTCCGCCACAAGCCTTCACAGTAGTTCCAAGAGCAACCGCATTCGGCACAAAAACATTTGCAGCTTCGCGCAGGAAATTTAGAGCAAGCCGCCACGGTGAGCCTGTGAGAGAGGCAGCAAACCCAGCCCCGCCATTTGATTGTGCAAGAAGAACCAGGGCGACGTCCCAGGCGTCTCTGGCACAAGCTTCGGCCACCTGCAAGCTTCCTGGCTCGAGATGCCCGAGATCCAGCAGCGCCTTCTGCCAGCCTCCCTGTTCACATTGCCCACACGCACGGATTGCCATGCTGTAGCTAACTTCCGTCCTTCGCAAGCTGTAGACTTCAAACTCATTGAAACAGGACAGGGCTTGCCACCAAAGCTGAGCTGTGTGGCAGGCGCTCTGGCAAGTGCTGACGGTGGTGGCATCCCGCTGCACTTGCATTGCTACCATGTGGCGCAAAAAATACAGGCTCTGCTGCCAGTTAGCTGCCCTTGCACAAGCATTACTTGCAGCATTGATTGTTATCACGTCACACCCGCGATTGCTTGACAGCTCAGCCAGCATGTGCGAGGCAAAGGGCCACTGCACAGCATGAGCAACCGAATTGAAAGCAATCACGTTCGACTGCAGGCCCCCACAACTCAGGAGCACCTTCAGAACTATGGCCTTCTCCCACTGGCACGTCCCCGCATTTACACATGCACTCATGCTGCTGCAAAAAGAGATGACTGTGGGCCTCAACTTCCTCGTAGCTATGTCACTTAGCAAGCACATTGCCTGCTGCCACTCGGCAGCATTTTGGCAAGCACCGATAGTCGTGCTTACTGCTGCCTCATCAGCTTCTAGGAAGCCTCGCATCGCGAGCAGCAGAGCCACGGCTGTCCTCCATTCCGATACCTTGGCACAAGTGCTGATCGCCAAGCCGCAGATGTTCGCATCTGCCTGAATCCCAACAGCTTCCAGCTGAAGAACAGTTTTTACCACTGCCTGCCACTTTGAACTCCCAGCGGTTGCGGCGGATGCAGCGGTGACGACAACGACATCTTGTTCAAGACCTTCATGGCGAAGTTGACTCCGGACGAGCGCAGCACACTTCCATTGATCTCGCTTGCAGGCCTGGATACAAGAAGTCAATGTGACGATATTACGCTGCAGCTGTGTTGATTCAGAGTGCTCAAGAAGTTGGATTGCATGTCGCCAACTCTGCTGGCATGCACCGATACACTTGGTGCATGATGTGCCGGCGACTTGCTGGCTGTTTCTGCGGAGTTCATCGATGAATTGCAGTGCAGCTCCCCAGGAGCGACGTCCTGGGCCCCCATCCTTGAAGCCCGAAATGTTTTTTGAAAGAAGCCCATTCAGCTGGCCCCCCTGCACATGGCACAGCATGTACAGCGGAATAATGCATTGCGCCGATACTCATGTTGCCGGCTGCAGTGGCCAACCAAGGCAATCTACACTTCAGGGGGATGTTAACGCGAGTAGCTGTAGGCGTCTGAGCCATCTAAACAGCAACGGCAGTACAGTACAAGAGCCAACCCAAAACTGATAGTCCTCACAGGCAGCTCAGATTCGAGCCTTCCCGCCCATGATCTTGGACAGCTTCACCTTCAAGGCTTAGAAACTTTTCTCCGCTTTGCTGTCTTGAAAATCTTGTGATGAAGTCGGGCCTGCGCCACCTCTGTCACAGCACAGACCGAAGTCAGGCTTCTGTCCTCCTGCCTCCTTCGCACGGCAACCTCAGAAGTCTGAAGGCAATTTCCAACTCTTGGGATGCAACGGTGTCGCTGGCATTATGTGGTCTAGGCTGCTGGTTGAAGACTTTTAGCTTGAAATTTCGAACCCCACGTACTGGGGATGCCTATACAAAAACCGCCATCTCAACAAAAGCTTCAAGAGACTTTCAAGGCGCTTCCACCCCCAAACTCCATGTAGCCAACAGAGTCGGAGTCTCAGAACACAGAGTTGTCTTCTTCTCATCTCAGCTTTTGGCACACAGGGCCAGGGCAGCTCCTCCAAAGACTAGCCCGAAACCTGCAAGGTTCCGTTCGCGAAACAAGGGGCTAGAATTCTATCAGGAGTTGTATTGAATATTGTATCCACAAAGGGAAAGCTTTCGGGAACTGAATAAGGAGCTGTTGTCTATATCCCACCCTCGGCGTTTTTTGAAATGAAACAGCCCTGGCATATTCTCCGACTTGTACCAGGACAGACTGCTCGGAATAACCTACTACTGACTTCAAGGATGAATCGCTACGCTTGCTACTTTTTTGCTATCACAGTCTCTGTTCCCTGTCTTGTTCTCAACTCCAGCCTTCTCCTGCGTGACCCTGCGCGCGGCTAGGGTTGCGGAGGGTAGGCGCCCGGCCTGGTGAAAGGAGGATTCAGCGCACTTGGTGTTGGAAGGATGCGGATCTCGCCTCGCAGGGCTGGCTCACTGGCTGGTGCCAGAAATGTCAACCTCAGCAAAACTCATAAAAATTGACGCTGATTTGATGCAAATTGAGGTGTCCCCACCCATGGACCAATTGAGTGCCCAGCCGCCCAAACGTGCAGCATATTGCTGCGGCCTGCTTCATGAATGAATCTAGAAAAACCCTGTGTGCTGGAAGCTTCAGTGATGCGGGGAGTAGTAAGTTCACGGCAGCCACAGCTGCAGCTATCCGCGACATCGCCCGGGCTAGGCACTCACTTTGAGCCATCGCCCTACGCCGGTCATGGAACAGTGCACCTTCTCTGGACAAGGCCATGGCAAATCCCTGTATGCCCCGGCTGGCATTGCACTGCTTCCGCCCTTTTCCAGCCACCTGCTCAAAGCCTTCTCAACCACCAAGCCTCAGGATGAAGGTCTGGACGCTCCGGGCCAATGTTTTGCCTTCCGACCTGAGCTCTGGGTTCTGGGCACGGAGCTACTTGAGCAGAGCGTATAGCAAGCGAGCGCGAATGCAATGTGACCACAGTCTTGGCATCGTGCGCGGGGGAAGAACTCACTGGTTCTTCTTCTTCTTCTTGGCCACTTCGGCGGCATGGGCCTCCCTCTGCTCATGGTGGTACTCGATGAGGCGCTGGGCGTAGGCAGCCTTGGCCTCCTTTCCGGCCTCCATGCGCTTGCGGGTGATGGCCTGGAAGGAAGCATCCGGCAGATGCCATCTGCTATCAACATGCACAACAACCGCACCTTGAAGTATCGCTTCCTCTGCAACAGCTGGGGGGTGATGAGGCGCTGAATCTTTGGTGCCTGCATCAGACTACAAGATGCAAAGATGCAACACTTTTGAATGCGGACCTAACCCTGCATCACTCTGGGCAGCTGGTCCACCTTGGTCTTCTTGCCTTCCTTGATCTCGCGGCGGACGACAAACTGCCTCACATCGTCCTGCAGCATTCTAAGTTCCGCAGATGACGCTCGCCCAAATTCTCTTTTTTCTGAAAAATGAAAGCTGATTTTTACTGCAGAACGCTCGCCTTCTTCTCCAGGCCGAAGAGCTTCCGAATGTTCGAGGCCCTCTTCGGTCCGAGGCGCCGAGGCTTCTGGTCATCGGTCAGGCCTGGCCGTGGGCAGAAAGTCAGGCTCCACAGCGCTCTTCGTTGGGCCTGGGTTTTTGTGGGAAGGCCGACCTGGGATGTCCTCTGCACCCTTCTTCACCAGCACCAAGTGCAGCACTGCCAGGTCTGGGCCCACGATGCAGCCTGCTGACCGTGAGTTCTGTAAGTCGAATTCCACTTTCCAGCCAGTGCTGCTGTAGTTCTTTCGTTTGTAGCCATTACAATATCATCCTGCACAGCATTGTTCCAGTTGCTAGGAATACTCCGTGAAAAATGAGAATGCGGGGTGCATCTAACATCTGAACCCAATCTAGCCAACCTTTCCTTGTCTGACCTGATTCGACCAACCTGCGGTCGGACGTTGGCAATTCTAATCCCTCATGCTTGAGATTCTGCAAGGTCTTTCTGCTGTTGCAGGCTTCAATCTTGTCTTCTTGGAACAGCTGCCTGAAAATCCCTGCTTTGAAGTCTCAGAACCCCGGTGCGGCATATGCACAAGGGATGCCCAGAAACCTTCCTGTGATCAACACTCTTTGCCTTCGTTGACAGAAAGGGTGCTTCTTGATAGGGTTAGGGTCCAGCTTGTCACGTTGCCGCATGAGCTTAAGATGCCCAGGCCCGCCTCGCACGGACTTGCGCTTGCGGCAGCCCGAGCGGCGCTCGCGGTAGCAGGACATGCCCTTCTTGAAAAGGAGGCGCACACGATTGTTGGACATGACACCTTGCGATGCTGTACTGTCATCTTCACGTCAGGCACTACAAAGAACTGAAGCACTCTCAGGCAACCGCCCTGTTTCATGGGGAAACCTTGCTTGTCATTCCCGCCACCGATACGAAAGACGTAGCCTCCGCCACAACTTCAAACTCAAGCTGGCAGAACATCATGAAGCGGTTTCTGCAAAAACGTGTCATGTCTTGCAGCACATCCAAAGGCCACTGTGGCAGACAAAGATTAGACCAGGAACCCTTGAACTCGTCGCCCAGCGAGTCTCCCGAAACCTCGCTAGCCATTCGCTTGTCGAAAAGCGGGTACCTGGAGGCAGCACACTACACGGATCTTCAAAATTCAATCTGTGCAACATGGATCTACTTACTTTTCAAGCAGGACACAGCTTCTTGTCGTCATCTATCTCCACCAGCTTCTGCATGCCCGTCGTTGGGTTCGAAATGTTGAGCTTCATGGCGTCAGAATGTGCTGGACAGGGAGGGACGGCAGAAGGGGCAGCTTGTGGCTATCCGGCCTGTGGCTGAAATCGCTCAGCGCGACTTGAGAACAGCAGCAATTGTCTAGCAGTGGAAGAGCAGGACGGCACCACGCAGCTCAAATGTCAAACTAGGCAGAAACCCTTCCCCCAGTTAGGATCGTTGTAGTCAACAAGCTTGCCTTCCCAGTTTTGCGACTAGGCTGGGCGGCTCACAAGTAGACGAAATACAATCTGAGCATACCAGGGGAAGGGAGCTACAACCAGGAGCAATAGAAGTACAAAGCACCAGCAGCAGGTGGTCGCTCCCAAAACTTGCTGAAGCCTTGAAGCTTAAAGCATGATGCACCATGCGTGCTAAACCCATGACTGGCACCTGCTTGGTAGTCAGAGCTCAAGACTTTGAATTTCTGGGCACATCTCAAACCCTGCAGCCTGAGCCCCTGCCATGCAAAGGGTGCCTGCGCTTCTTGGGGGGTATGGGATGGGGTAAATGCAGGAATGTGCTGGGAACCGACAGGAATGACTTCAAAGCTGAGGGTAAATGTGAGTATCTACCCCTCGACATGACAAAGAGATCCACTACACCGTCGCGACACCTGTCACAAAAACATCCTCGTTGACTGATGTCAACTCCAAACATGCATTTCCTTCGACACATTCAGAATCAATACCCCATTGAAACACAAACTTCTCTGTGAAACAATCGATCTTGACCTCCCCTACCCTCAATCCTGCAAACCAGTGGGACACGATATATATGAGATGCAGATACAAGCTTTTTCTTCAACCGGTGGAGCACTGTCGAGCGTGTGTTACCAGGGACGCGCATGGATAAAGGGCAAGCGTGTGGCTCAAACACAGCTATTTGATGAGAACATAACATTCTGTTTTCTGGTGCAAGTTTTTTCTGCTTCGCAGATGGAGCATGTAGTCAAAGACGAAAGCGGCGGCGCAACAGAGGAGGCCTCAGGGTAGAAGCGTGACTGATGCAACTTGCAGTCATAAGACTGGAGACTTAGTTTGTGGCCCTGTGAAATTGCTGCGAGATGGCTGGGCCCTCACCTCAGTCTACAATGTGAAGTAACTTGGAGCTCGGTCTGTGTGAGTTCAGGAATCTACGCATCAGCAGCTGTTTCCTTAACCTGCTCAAGAACACACAGCTGCACTCCAGCTGTGCGATCCACGTCAGCGAGCACGTTGCTCCGCGCAGCACACCTCGGCCATGGCTGCAAAGTGAAGCTACTACTAAGTGACAGAATTGTTGTCAAATCTTCTGAGGCAGAGGCCTTTGAGCATCCTCTGCGTCCAGCAGAAGTCGAGCGCGCTTTGGCTTCACGCCCTCTTGCAGCCTGGGCTCCTGAATTCCAACAGCTTTCAAGGCATTCGAGGTGCAAGAATAAAATTGGACATTCGTTGGCAGAGTCAAACCCCTAATAGGATTTCTTTTTATATACACCATGTGTATATCGCAGGGTTTCGAGTGTGCATGTTAAAGGTTCAATCGTAAAACTCTTGATTCAGCGATACTGTCAGGCCATGCCATCTTGCGAGCATGATATCCATTCTTGACTGCATCCACGCTCAGACGGGGATAGTCCGGGATAGTGCATTTTTCTAAAAGCATCCATACCCGCACAATCATAGCGTCAACCTGCCAGGGCATCCATTCCCAAGAATAACATGCATCCATGCGCCATCCATGCTCAGGCCCATGATTGCCCATGCCATGACAACGTCTGTAGGTGTCCACATCCTGTCCCGGCATCCATGCCCAAATCATGATGACGTCCATCTGCGAGAGCATGCCTTCCCATAGCGTCATCATGTCATATCATGACGTACAAAGGCCAGCGCTTCTGTTCCCAAGAGCATCCCCGCCCAAACATCATCATAGTGCCCATCTGTCAGAGCATGCCTTCCAAGGAGCATCCATGCCCAAACCATAATGTCGTCCTGAGTAATGATGGACCCTGTTTTGTTCGGGCCCCCTCTTCGATGTCAAGTTTTGGGGGCTTATTCAGGACAGGGGATATGTTTTAGGGACCCTCTTTAATGTCAAGTTTTGGGTGCCAAAGAAATGTTCTTTTAGGTTTGACAAGATAAACGTTTGAAAAGGCAGTAAGAACATTTTTTCTTCTGAATAATAAGTATTCTTCATCAGATAAGTCAGAGCATAAGGGTTCCTAATTCCTGAAACCTTACTATTTGCTTTGAACCCTGAACAGCCCAGAGGTTAGCTTAAGGGTACCTAATTCCTAAAACCTTACTATTTGCTTACAAACCCTGAACGGGCTGGATTTCTAAACTCTCTAGGCTTCAAATCCAATTACTTGCTCTGCCTAGCCTTCAACATGTTCAAAAAGCCGTAGTCCATCAGGAAGTGTTACCCTCTATAGTGACAATGTTTAGGTACCCTCTTTAATGCCCGACTGTCCGAACGAAAATTCCATTGAAAACCAAATGAGATTGAATTAAATTCGAACTAAAACTTATTGAAAACTAATTAAAATCCATGTAGAGTCAACGGAAACCTCATCAACATTCTATTGAAAATCCATTGAAACCGAATTTACATCCTTTTAAATTCAATTGAACCTAATCAACATTCAAGAAAATCAATTAAAATCGAATTAAAACCCCTTTAAGATCAATTGAAACCTTCTCAGCATTCTTTTAAAAATCAATTGAAATCGAACTAAAACCCCTTTAACATCAATTGAAATCTAATTGAAATTGATTTAAAACCGATTGAAATCGAATTAAAATGCAATGAAAACAAATTGAAATCGAATTAAAATCAAATAGAAAACCTTTGAAATCGAAGCAAAGTCCAGTTGAAACCAAAGAAACCTAATTAAAATTCTATTAAAATCAGATTAAAATCTAATTAAAATCAAATATTCGAAGGACGGGCTCACTATTAGGTTTCAGCCCGACCCCTGAAACAATTTTAATTCAGGGTCCCCTAAAACATTACATGCATATCCGGAGCCGTGATAACATCCGTCTGCATGTGCATCCAAAAAGAGGGCATGTCTGCAAGCTAATATCCATTCCCAAGGCATCCACCCTCAAAAAATGATAATGCCCCGCCAAGGAAACCAGGGAACCAGTCTACCAGCACACCGAGGCAACACAAGAAACCAGCTAGAGTCCCAAGGCATTTTACCTGTCTACCAGCAAACCAAGAAAAACAAAGAAACCAGGAGGGGAAGCTAGGCTAACCAGCAGCAGGCTTGGCATCTACCTATACTTACTTTTTTGGGGAATCCTTACTCGAGTGCGCAGCTATTCGTATATCTGCCAAAGCACCGTGTCAGACCTCCGGGCTGCCTAGCTTGCATGTGAGCTTGTAAACGGACATCTTTGTGATTGTGGCCGCAAACTCAACGTGCTCAGAACCAGAAAGACCCCCTTCCCCTGCTTCAAGCAATTCAAGATTCCCCTACAGTCGTGAGAAGACGTGGATGCCACCCTGCTCATGGCGCAAACAGCTTGCACCAAGCCCAAGGCTTAGCATCATCGCGGAATGAATCAAATGAATGCTGCATGTTGGGTTGGGTCTGAGCGAGCAAGGGCTGACAGCTCTGCTCTGCGTAGGGAATCACAAGAACCAAAATGATGTTCCGGCTAAACTAACCTAAAGAATCTAAAGAATGCGCCTTGAGCTGTCGCATAGGAGTCCACCCCGCTCTGCAACCTGAAAAGATCTGCAGAAATCGATGACTGCGGCCAAATGTCCCAATGTGGTAAGAATGACACTCAAACCTAGCAGTCTATCTGATCTGAGGTCAGCACAATTCGCGTGAGTGATTGCTGAGCCTGGCAGTCAGTTGCCAAGATCTGTCCAAGCAATAACCGCAATCTTACCATGCGAACAACGGCACTCTCCTAGCAGCCGTGGGCCCTCCTGTTGATCTCTATGTCGACTGTCAAAAGAGCATCCGGCGCTGTTGAAAGCCCTGCGTGGCTCTGCCTGCGAGCAGGCAACGCCACCTTCGTGTCCCATCTGTCCCGCTGCAAGGACCTCACCTCAGCTACGCTGGCAGCTTGTCGACGCAGGACCGCATTGAACAACTAAGGCAGGGGCAACATAATGTAGAGCGACAACGCTGCGCTGCACCGCCAAGGGCATAAGCACTTGGCTGGCGCACGGCTCCTGAAAAGCGTCAAATATGAAGTGGCTGGGGTTCTCGGCCGGAAGGCGGCAAGCCTGCATCAATCAGATCTTCAGCTCGTGACACTGCTCATCTTTCAGCCTTGGCAAGAGCTCAAACACTCTGGATCACAGACCAAGCCTTGTTGGCCAGAGGCCGTCGCCGAGCCACAGCAATCCCAATCCCAGGTCTGGGCCGCCTCGGCCGCAGTTTTGATTTATAGAAGGTCAGGGAACGGCCACCACATCTCCGAGGCAGGCACGCGCACAAGCTCGTTCTTGTAGGCCACGACCTCAGGCTTGGCGAATCTTGGCGACAACTTTCAGCACCAATTCTCCCAAACCCATCCGCCCGTCCTGCTTGACTGCAAGGCTCAAGGCCTGCAACGCGAAGATCAACGAGTCACCTGAGCCAGCTGAACGGTTGCAGTGCTTCCACAAGCAATGGCAAAAAGGTTTGCAGCGCTCAAAATTCAGGCCAGGGAGCTGGACATGGCTCCACTTAGACACTCCACGATGATGCGACGGCCCGGCTTGAAAGCTTGAGCCAGATGCGCCGGCACAATCGCTGGGACGGCCACTCGACGGAAAACTTGCGAATCGCATGAATCGCGAAGCGCCAAGACCTAAGACTCCTTCCAAAAAAACATTTTTGCCTTCACAAGACACGTCGTTCGAGTCATCCATGGCCGCGCGTCAGCATTTATGACGATGACATGCCTCTTGTTGACAAAACAGCCGGTGCACCGATCACGCCGTGCAGGGCAGGTGCCTCCCACTGTTGCCCTCTGTTAGAAGTCAATTGCTTCAATTCGCTCTC